TTTCTTTTGGTTGCAAGAGAGAGAGAGAGAGAGAGAGAGACTTCCAACGTGTCTACTACCACCTCTCCGTTTTCGTACATTTTTATCTCGCTGATACGTATTGCATCGTGAATAAACTGAACTCTTCCTTCCTCTCTCTTTCTATCTATCATAAGGAGATTCTATTTTTATGCTTCACGTGGTATTACGAAATCTTCGAAAGAAACTCTCTCACAAAGAAGAAGAAGAGGAAGAAGTTGAAAAAAGAAAAAAAAAAATGACGAAAAAGTACGTTTGTTTATCGTATCATACTTACGTAATTTTTATAATTTCAATACTACGTTTTTGTGATAAAAGAAATAAAAGAAGAAAAAAGAAAGAAAAAAGAAAACATTGGAAAATATTTGGCAGAAGGAGGAGAGATGCTGTTTGCGTTTGCTGTTCCTGCTGCTGCTGCTGTTGTTGTTGTTGTTTCTGTTGCTTAATACTTTCCTACATTATGTGAATTACTTTGACGATGAACAGAGAATAATTTTATGGTTTCTCTTCATGAATTCGCAGAAATGAACGATTACTTGTGTTCATTCTTTCTTTTACTTTTCGGCTGTTTATAATAGACGTGACGTAACACGTGCGGTAGCCCATATCACACTTCCGTGCCGGAAGGTTCTCCGGGGTTTGAGACAACGAACCCAACAACCAGCCGAAGCCAAAGCCAAAGCCCGTTCCTAATTCTTTCTATATACACTTTCTATATAAGTATTGGTAGAGGGGATGGAATACACTTTGTTTTTCAATCTTTCAAAATAAAAAATGCATAATACATAATGTAACTTATATTATACTTACTTTATATACTCTTTTTAAAAACTTCTTCTTCTTTTTTTTTTTTCGTTTAAACGATGACGACAATTCTACTCCCATCTTTTTATTTTACGTAACGGTGTGTGACATCGCGTATGTTTTGGTTAAAATCATATTTGCGGTTACCTGTTTTCGAAAATGTCGATGTCTAATCTACGTCATCCGAAGCTTGGATAAATAGAGAATATGCGAGGGAGTATCACACAGAGAATATGAAACAAATTGTATATCGATAATTTGCGTATATTTCATCCAAAACACGCGTTAAATGAATTCATTTTTCTTTTTTACCTGATAAATAATAATAGTAGACTTGATGTATGTATTTAAATTAAACAACATCCAAACACGTTGGTATTTCTATTCATTCAATTGACGTTAAAATCGTTTCAAGGTATTCACGAATTGTGTCGAACTTTTAATGACGTAATTGACGTAAAACGTCTTACTAGGCTGAAATAAATGAAAAAGAGAGAGGTTTGATTGTTTAAAAAATATTAAAGTAAATAATATTTTAGAAGATAAAAAGAATGAAGAATAATTGAATTTTTTGAAGACACTTAAATAATACGTAAAAGAATAAGAAATGTGAAGGCACTGGCGCTAGAAATCCGCATCTCGTCCCTGGCACGTGTTAGAACGAAAAGTAGCAAATAGTGGTGGGGATTCAGCGATACCTTAGAAGTATTAGAGGGGGTATGATAGAGAAAAAGAGAGAGTTAGAGAGAGAGAGAGAGAGAGAGACACTACCAAAGCGTACCCAAAGTCATAGCCTTAAGCAGTCGCCCCACTGTCGCCCCCACCCTCTCTAAAAAAGTCGAATCGTGCGTTCCTCCTATCACCTCCCTCTTTTTCCTCCTCCTCCTCCTCCTCCTCCTCCTTCTTCTTCTTCATCTATCTATCTCTGTTTCTCCCTCCCCTCTCTCACGTCACTCTACCACCACCGAAAACCGCTGCCAACGCTGTGCCGAAAACCATCGAACTCATACTATTTCGTCCAACCGCATTTGCATCAGCACCGATGACCCATATTCACGTTCTTTTTCTTCGCGACGCGTCCTCCTACTCGTCGGATCCTTCTTCCTATATTTCCTTTACCAATAACTTTACCTAACCTTTTCCTTTTATTTTTTTTTTTCTTTCACCTTCTCACCTTTACTGTTTTATTTTTTATTTACACACTTTTTTTCCTTTATCACCTTATCTTATTATTGTTATTATTATTATTATTATTATTATCCTTTATTTTTTTCCTTATTTCCTGCCCCTAATCTCCACTTAACGCAATCGCGTAGCAAAAGTTTTGATTTGAAAGTCAATTTGTGCGGGAAAAAGCGCGGGAATTTTGAACAATTTTTACTTTTTTTTTTTGCTAACTCGTCTCTCGGTGATCTATCTTATATATATATATATATAATATAGATTTATATATATATCTTTCTCTGTTTTATTTTTTTTTATGTATATTTTTGTTATTACTTCATCGACGACGTGTGATCGTCGTCATCGTTGAGGGTGGGGTTGTTGTGTTGTCCATCTTCATCGTCATCGTAAATTGATTGTGTTAACTACCTCGACGTTTGTTTAAATCGATTTTTGTTATATGTGCGAGTGAAAGGAGTAATAGAAAGAGAAAGATAGATAGATAAAGAGAAAGAGAGAGAGAAAGAGAAAGTTTTTTTCTCGTAAGGTGGAGGAGAGGAACTCGTGTGGATATGTGCGCCAAGAGACACGTGTACGCAACATACTCTGTACATTGATCTGTTTTTTTTTCTGTTTTGTTTCGTTTCGTTTCGTTCACAGTGCYGATTACAAGGTGAATAATACGAGAAAGAGAAAGAAGAAAGATATACATATATATATGTATATATCACTTCTCGTTCAGTAAAACGTTGTTACATTTGAAATTGTGTGACAAGAAGAGGGAGAAACGGAAAGAAAGACAAAGTGTATGTATGTGTAAGAGAGAGAGAGAGTGAGAGAGAGAGAGGGGTGTTGTGTGTAAGACAGATAGAGATAGAGATAGCAGTAGTGCGTAAATTTCGTCGTTGAAAAAAAGAATCTCGGCAAGTTTCATGAATAGACTACGCTTATCGGATACATCTTTGTCTTTACGTTTGACAACCGGTTACGACGATCGGTAATTCCCAAGTAGTAATACTACTACTACTACCACCATCTTGGATCTATTTTGGTAGGTTGTTTCTATTTTTTTATTTTTTTTATTTTTTTTTATTTTTTTATCATATATATATATATATATATATATANATATATATATATATATATATATATATATATATATATATATATATATATATTTACCTTTTTTAATAATATATTTAATATATTAATAATATACATATATAATAAATAGGTATACGAATTATATATATAAAGGTAGATATTATATATATCTACCTTTTTTATTAAATTTTTTTTAACTTAATTTTTACTTTGGTTTATTCATTTTCCCAAATTTTTTATTTATTTATTTATTTTTTTTTTGTATAGTTGATCAGCAATAGGAAGAAGGGTTTATATTGCGTGGGGATTGGTCAAAACTAACTTGACATTATCGTCCCGCAGACGAATTTAATTTATTGATCTTTAATAGCTGCGTTTATTTATTAAATTCTCTCACTTGAGAGAGAAAGAGAGAGAGAGAGAGAGAGAGAGAGAGAGAGAGAGAGAAAGAGAATCAATAAAAACAAGTTTGATTTATGCGATTGATTATGTTTCTCTTTCTTTCTCTCTCTCTCTCTCTTATTCTTTCTTTCTCTCTCTATCTCTTTCTTTCTTTCTCTCTATCTCTATCTCTTTTTTTCGTCATCGTTCGATTTCTTTCGTATTTTTATAGCTTGTTGATAATATCTCGATGCATTATGTCACTGATAAACGACGTTACGATTCGTGTTAACGAAATTTCATCGAATATAACTGAACCGTGTATTTCTTGTGTGTGTGTGTGTTTTTTTTTGTATTTCTTTTAATTAGGTCAGTAGGGGAAATACAAAAAAAAAAACGTTGTATTTTCGATGTTTTATCTTCTTGTTATTATTATTATTATTATTATTTTTTTTTTTTTTTTGGTTAGGTGGTATATAGTAATCGTATAACTGGCGAAATATTTACTATTCCGCGTTTTTTAATTCGAATGGCCTTGCTTCGTATGGCACCATCGATATCAACCTAATTCATCAAGATCGCATCGAGATTATATATAGAAGTTAGCGATTGCAGTCATCCATTAATCGTGTATCCAATCAACAATAATTTTATGTTTAAGTGGTGCCTTTTTTTTATTTTTCTTACGTCGAACGTAAAATTAGAAATTGTTGTTTTTTTTTTTATTATTTATTTAATATTGAAAAATTCGAACGATGTATATTTTTCTATTTTATGTTTGTCGCATATTTTTTGTGATATATTAAAAAAAAAATAATAATAATATATTAAATATATTTTAATATATAAATATTAATATTAATAGTAATAAAAATAATATATAGGAATTTATTTTTAATGTAGTTTTGAAAAATTTGAACATTGTTTATTTTTTTAATTTTTGTTTTGTTTTATGTTTGTCGTATATTTATTATATATATTCTATTTTAATATTTATATATAAAATAGAATATTTATTTATTATATTTATTTTATTTTTAATTATATTTACTCTATTTTTTTTTTTATGTTTGTCGCATATTTTATAATATATTTAAAAAAAAAATTAATAATATATTAAATTTATTTTAATATATTACTTTAATTATTAATAAAAACAATGCTTAGGAACTTTTTTTTTTCATTATTTAGCTTTGAAACATTTAAACGATATATATTTTTCTATTTTTATTTTTATTTTTTTTTATTTTATGCTTGTTGCATATTGTAAAATATATATTAAAAAAATAATAATATATAAAATATATTTCATAAAATCTCGAACAAATCAATCCAATAAAATTATTTCTTATTAATTGTGATCAACCTTGAAAAAACACACACACGCACCCTAAATTCATATACTCGTATATTATTAAACGAAACTACAATTCACCTATTCATTCTTTCTCATAATCGATCAATAATATCAAATCGGTTTTCAAAGATATGTACTACGTATACTAATGAATAAATAATTTCTGTTTCAGTTGGAAGAACAGTTGGGCACGAGCGCAACAAAGAAGGGCGCAACCTGTTCGAAGGTGGCAGTGACAACAGAGGTAGCGAAGATTACGGGGTGGTTGGGTCTAAGGGTGGCATCATGGACTCTCATCAGCAACAATTTTGTCTTAAATGGAACAGTTTCGGCACCAATCTAGCAACGGCCTTCTCGAATTTATTCCAAAGCGACAGACTCGCTGATGTCACCCTTTTCTGCGAGGGTGAGTTAATTTTTATCTCTTTACATTTTTTCTTCTTAATAAACTGACCATTTTTTAAATTTTTATAATTCTCTGTATTCATCACTTGGTTGATTTATTTTTTTTTCTTTTTTTTTTTTATAAAACGCGATATCGTTTGACTTTTCCTTACCGTTTTTCCCGCGCATTGAAGTTTCCAAGCACTCGTAGTCTGACCATACCGTTGGTTCTTACTACTTGTGCAGAAACACGAGTCACAACCACCACCACTACTACCACTACCACTACTATTACCACCCCACCACCACCACCACCACCACCACCTGTGGATGGTCGCGTTGCACTCAGAGACTTTCTCCACTTCTCAAGGAGTTAAGGGTAGAGAAAGAGAGGGAAAGAGAGGTCGGTGCACCGGGAGAGTGCAATGAGAGATGATTGGCCGAACCCTACTTCTCTCTTTCGACTATCCAATCTGAAGAGCGAATTTCTGCGGTCAATGAGAAAAAGAGAGATAGAAAATTCTTCTTCTCTCTCTCTCTCTCTCTCTTTATTCTTTTTCCTCTTTTTTCTTTCATACACAAACACAAATCTTTCTCTCTCTCTCTCTCTCTCTCTCTCTCTTTCTCTTTCGTTCTATCTTCCTCTCTGTATCTTACTCTTTTTTTAACACGTTCTATACTCGTCCGATTGCATCGTACGTGCATATATGTTCTCTCAACCACACGTGTCAGTTCACATGTGTACCATTTGTATGTGTGTGTGTGTGTGTGTGTGTATATATATGCCTTCCCCCGAATGGATGCATCGGTCTCGCTTGCTGCAGCTGTCGTCTTTGCGAAACCGCAGTTTGCAACGAGCCGCGGTGCAATGCGCTCCGGGTTCCTGTTGCATTATGTAGCGCGAATTTAACATAAGTTCGATATATGCGTTCGCGTAAGTTTCAAAGTTCCTCTCTAGTGAGTTTTTATTATCATTTGTTGTTTGATGAATTATGTCAATTGATATTTCATTTTTTTTTTTTTAATTTATTTATTTATTTCGTGTGTTTGTTTGGGTTTTTTGTTGGTCATTTTTGCGTAAATTTTTATTTACACTTTTTTTTTACTGTCTCGTGTGATAATTTGTTGATTATTAATTGTAATAATTATTACGTTAACAAAGTGCACGTTTATATTTATCATATTTATCGTAATTATATTGCAAAAAAAGATAACAAAGTGATAAATTATTATATAAACTTTAAGGAAACGTAAATAATGGGATTATTTGAATCATCGTTAATGTCATCAACAACAATTTGTTTTCACAATGGTAATACAAATTATATTAAATATAATATAATATAATATAAAATATAATTTCGTTGACAATTATTATTATATTTTATTTATATTGAAAATATTATATTATTATTATTATTGCATTATTATTATATTATATTATTATATATTATATTATATTTGTGTTTGCAATGGTAATACAAATTATATTAAATATAATATAATATAATATGAAATATAATTTCGTTGACAATTATTATTATATTTTATTTATATTAAAAATATTATATTATTATTATTATTATTATTATTATTATTATTATTATTATTATTATTATTATTATTATTATTATATTATTATATATTATATTATATATTATTATTAGATTTGTGTTTGCAATGGTAATACAAATTATATTAAATATAATATAATATAATATAATATAAAATATAATTTCATTGAAAATTATTATCAGATAATATTATTATATTTATATTGAAAATACATTTTTTAAAAAAATGTATAATTAATTTATATAATAATTATTATAAAATATAATATATTACTATCAATACAAAATAATTGCAAAGATTTGAAATTTGTTAATAAACTTTGTTACACAAATGTTAGACAATAAAATTTATATAGAACTTTTCGTCATCGTTGTGTGTCGTCGTTAGCATTGGTGTTAAGTCGATGTATGTGTAACTCAATATGATTTATCAGTGGAAAAATGATAAGGATACTATTATACGCTGACATGTGCGACTAGATAGATATACTGTTTGAATTATCACTAGTACAGAATAAATATGAATTATTAGTTATTTTTCATATCACTTTAAACACGGATTCTGTTTCTCTATGTTTTTTTTTTCTTCTTCTTCTTTCTTTTTTCTTTGCAATTTTCATTAATCATCAATCACTACACGTGTTAATGCAATTTTTTTTTTTTTAATACGAGATAATAATGTAATACTATTTTCTTTTTTTTTTTTTGTAATTTTAATAATCATCAATCACTAAACGTTTTGATGCTTTCTTTTTAATACGAGGTACAATTTAACATTATTTTTATATTTTCTTTTTAACCCATTTTTGCATCATAAGCGCATATATGCGCCCACTTTGTTTGGCCACTGTGTAACCAATACTTTTAAAATATCGTATAAAAAAATATGTAAAAGATAAATCATTTCATTCATTTGCACCATAAGTGGCATATCTGCATACACATTTCACTGTTAAGTAAATCACCTAAGTTCATACAATCAACAAAAACAAAGTTGTTGATGATGAGAATGAATGTTTCAATTTTTTTCTATGCAATGGAAATGGGTTAATAAGAAACTATGACTTTTAAATTATACGAGACTCATGGGTTTTTTCAAAATGATTGATCGAATATCTCGCGAAGAAAATAAAAAAATTAAAAAAAACCTACGTAGAGTATAACTTAAGAACTAGTTTCATGCTTAACGCCGAAAAGACGGTCGATGCAAAACTACGAAAAAAGAGAAATAAAAGGAGAGAAAAAGAGAGAAAGAGTAAGAGAAATAG